GTGGGCCACTAGCTTGTGCGGGCCACTAACTTGTGGATTACGTTAACTAGTTAACTAACCCACCCAGAGCTACCTCACCTCAACCCATCCACCTTCGTTTCAATCCATCCAGGTGTCTGAAAGGGTATTGAGACATCTCTAGCAGTGGTAGAATAGGTAGGTAAGAGGTTACATACACATGAGGCTGAAATGCATTACGACACACAGTGAAGCATACTTCAAATTTCGCCAGCTACTTCACATCCTTTCCTTCGCTATCAACGGCCTTGTTCATTTCTTTAAGGTATCGCCTTCATGCAACCGGAAACTACACGTTCTCAAACCCGCTGGCGACTAATTCAATTCTCGAATCGTATCCCGAGGGCTATTTCGAATACTTTGCCGCATATGCAAGGGAGCTACATACCGACTAACCTGTGCAGTCAATACCAAAAGTTCACATCACTTTGAGAATCGTAAATTGAAACACTTGCAAGAACTTACAGATCTTACAACTAGCGGCGCTCCTTGAGCCAAAGCGCCGAAGCGTAGTCTCTACACCACCCCGCTCAGTTTCACCCTCGTATGCAGAATGTTCAGTCAAATTGCAAAGAAAGATTTGTATACACTATCGCTTTAGATTCTCCAGGTGCCTCCCTCTTCCCTCTCAGCGAGTCTGCATCATTTCTCCAACGCACCTTGCGTCAGAATCCCGAACTCGGCCATTTCTGCAAAGGGTTGAGAGTATTTGTCGACTGCAGCAATTGCCACAAATGGACCGAGCAACATACAACTAAGATTATGCGCGAGTTTACCAACGCGAGGAAGCTCTGCGTCATTGAATGCGACTATACAACAGTGGACCATGGGGCCTCAAGATCGACCATCATTTGCGATGTCTTTGAGAGCATGGATCACCTCACCGAGCTAAGTCTGGAACAGTTGCAATGGCATGAGCTCCTATCCTCTATGGGCGATAGATCTGAGCTCTGGACACGTCTTTCTAAGTTTCCGTACCTTCAGATCTTGGAGCTCGTCGGGTTTTCGCCTGGAGGCAAGGTATTCGAAGGGCTGGAAGGCGCGTCTTCCATCACGACACTCAAATTACGCAAATTTAGTGGGTAGCACGGTTCTTCTTTTCAGGCTCCTCGCCTGGTTCAGGGCTCTCGAGTGCTTCTCTTTCCACGACTGCACGTGGCACGGTCGTCGTAGACGTGAATTCCCAGACTGGGGCTTGGAATGCTTCCAGCACCTCTTAGAGCTGCATCGCTTGACGCTGAAGAGCTTGAGCTTCAAAATATTGGAGTCAGTCATCGGTGAACGAAGCGGACGAATATCACGCAACCTCCTTCCCGTAGATTATCGCTCGAAGTTCCCCTTCGCTACTTATCCCGTTCTAGAAGAAATCCATCCGTCGGCCTAGGTCCGGAAGGATGTCATAGACCTAACGCCGTTTCCCGCAGCTCCAATCAAGCAGCGCTTTACGCTAGAAGTCGAGTTCAAAACCTGGGCTGGCTATTCAGGTTTCCCCGAGAATGGAAACTCCACCGCGCAGCACTATCTGACTTGCCTGGCCATGAAAGCATCCTCTACATCCACGCGTAATGCCAAAAACAAAGCTACCCCCTGAAGTCTCTTAGTTTCCTTTTCAACCACACTGAACCAAGATTTTCGCTACATTGGACTCCCGAGGCCGGCTGGTCAGTTGATGGAGCCTTGGCTGACTATGGCGAAACTGCAGAGGCAACTCATGAAGCTGGGCGTTGAGCTTGTGTGTATCGACCTCCGACGGCTTTAGTGGAACAGTACAACAAGGAAAGCCAAGAACGGGTTCATGTAGATCGAAGGGAGAGGAGGGCGTCCAAAAACCTCAATACATCGCCGGACGCACGATCGAAATACGGAACAGTTGGTGAATGATGAGCAGACACTTGATCATGTCAGAACGCTCTTCAGCTTCAGGCACAGTTGGTCAAAGAGAAAGTGGAAGTAACTCAAGTAGGAGCCGGAATCCAAAAGAGATCTATAGAATGATTATGTCCAGTGGTAGCATGCTTCAATCAATCCATGAATGCCCAATTCTTCCTCACCGCGCCAACCCTATCTTGGAACACCGTGTTGTTAAGGTTCTGGCTTTCAAAAAGGCAGCAGTTACGTCATCTTATTGTAATCATATTGCAATCATGCTAGCATCATTTTCACATCATTTTAGCTTTCCAAAATGATATCCAGATGATCTTGTCGTCTATATCTTGAGTACTCCAGCCCTGCCCAGTACGCCAAGCTTGCTTGTCCACCTCAAGCTTTTCTAACCCGCATAAGATCTGACGCGACTCTACGATATAAGATTCATCTTTCTTTTATTTCAACCTACATCGACGATCACAAGTATCTAATACATCTAACACTAATACGCATCTGCTTTAGCACTGGTGGCTAGGATGTTGAATCGAATATTTCGCAGACATTGATCCTAACGTTCAACACTACAAATCACGCCTGCGTGTGGGCGCTTTCGCCCTGAATCCCTTGCATATTCTTGAGACGGCTCATCGGTGAGTGATTCACGGAAAGTGGATTCATATCCTAGCCATCTGCAATTAATGTGGATCACTGTGGCGCAGCAGCTTTAACCTACTTCAGCCCACAGCCCGAGGCCTTCAAGGATCTGTAACGCAACGAAAACTCTAGTGAAGCATAAAGATCAGCCCAAGCTCTCCTATCTCCTGAACTTATACCTCGAAATCTGTTTTCTTCTCCTTCAAATCTCAAACGCATCATCTTCATCCTTCACTAACATGTCGGGGCAATACTCAATCGCCCACGCCGCCAATGGCGACCAAACACTTATCGTATGCGGCGGCCTCAAAGACTTCAAGGATACTGCCGAAAACATACTCAAAGATGACTACCGAATCGCACGCCTTCGGGCAATTGAGATTTCCAGGAATGAGAACGAGGACGATGAAGCCATAGCCAAGAAAGAAGAACGCCCGGAAGAGGACGTCCGAGCTGAGCTGGCCACCTTCTCCCAATCCATGGCGGACATCCTCAACGCCATCCACGAAAAAGGAAAACTCGAGTCCTTCAAATGGTCCGGGCTTCAATTCGCCATAAAGAAAACTGCACGATCCACAGCCTTCTGGGAAGCGCTGTGGAAGCACTCCGCTACTCTCACCAAGCTAGAATTAGACTGCGATCAGCGCGAGATTGGGAATATAGTAACTGCTTCTTCTCACATTCCCGGAAACAGCTAGCTAATGATATTGAAGCCCCACCCCACCGCGCCCATGCCAAACCTCCACACCCTCAACCTGTGGATGGGTAACGCCTGCGGCGACGACGGCACCATCGTCAACAAGCTCCTCCACGGCGCCCCCAGCATCACCGCCCTCGTCCTGTCCCTCCCCGGCTGTGATCTCGACGGCTGCCGCATCCGCAATCTAACCTGGGACTACACCTTCCCTCAGCTCTCCACGCTCCTCTTAAGCGTCTTCAACGTGCCCCTAACGCCCGTCTTCGACTTCCTGCTCCGCCACCCCCTCGTCAAGACCCTCACATACGGCGTCGACACCTACCGCGACGAGAGCCCGGACGTCTTCCCCAACGCCGCCCTGCCGGCTCTCCGCGCCATCAAATTCGAAACCTGCTTCGACGACGACGCCGTCCAAGAAATCTTCTCCGCAGACGCCGCACGGCCAATCGCACACGTCTCCATCCAAAGCTCCAGTCAGCGCCTCTTCCCGCACCTCGCAGCCATCAGCCCCTCCCTCAAATGCCTAGAAATCGAGGCGCGGTGTAGCGAGTGGCGGCCCGAAGAGCCTGACTCGGACTCCTCCGACTCCGAAGAAGAAGAAGAGGAGGAGAAGAAAAAGATCGAGCCCTCTCCAAGACTCCCTGAAGTCGTAAAGGCGCTGCTCCCCTCGCTCACGGCCCTCCGCGAGCTCGCGATCGACTTGGATACCGATACGCGTATCTACAGCAATGGGAATTGGAAGCAGCAACCGCCGCCCATGAGTGCTGATGACCTTGTAAGAACCCCCTCCCTTTGAAACCCCCTAATTGACCGACCACCGACCACCGACTGACTCGCGACACGCAGATCTCCGTGCTGGAAGTGCTCCCAGCGAAGTCTGATATCCGCGTCGTTCGCTTGTCCGACTCACGTGGCGAAGAGCTCTCGGAGGCGTTCAGGGGAGATGTGCCGGGTGTGCCGGAGAGTTTGGAGTTTATTCGGTGGGATATCGGGAAGAAGAGGATTTTGTATCGGCTTGAGCGGGAGGGGGGGAAGGTGAAGGCTGTGTGGCATGAGCGGCTGTGGCACAGTACGGGTGGGGAGAAGGCTTGGACGGATGAGAGGGTGTTGGAGTATTGAAATGAGAAAAAGGGGTGGAATGGGTAGTGGATATCATGAAGATTGGGGGGAAGTAAATAGCACTGGTTTTCTGGATGAACGCAATGTGATACAGCAAACATGAATTGCCAAGAAACCATTATTTTCTACACCTACAGACAGTGGTGAAAAAGAGTTGAAGATAGAGAGCAATAGTTTCTTGGCGTTGCCCAATCCATATTGTAGCCATATCCTTACATTGCACATACAGCTATCCTGGTATCTAACTCACCGGTATCCATCAAAGCCCAAACCAGCCATGTCCCAGAACTATATACAACCAATAGCCAATAGCTAATCCCATTATCCCACCTCAGCTAAGCAACTCCTTAATATCCTCAATCCGCTGCAACCTCTTCTCCTCATCACTCATCATGCCCAACGAACTCGCACTGTGTCATCATTAGCAACCCCTTCCCAAACACAACTTAGGCAGCCAAAACTCACATAAACTTCTTCCGCTCCTGAATCCTCAACATCTTCTCCTCAATACTCTTCTCCACCACAAACCTTACCACCCGCACCTCTCCCTCCTGCCCCATACGGTGCACGCGATCAATCGCCTGCGCCTCGACCGCAAAGCTCCACCACGGATCCATCATGAACACCCGCTTCGCAGACGTCAGGTTCAGTCCCACGCCACCAGCGCGCAAGCTCAGGAGCAGCACGATCCCCTTCTTCGAGGTTGTGAACTCGGTCAGCACGGCCGCGCGGGCTTTCTGTGCCATCGAGCCGTCGAAGCGCAGGAAGGGGATGCGGTCGCGCTCCAGCGCCGGCTCGATGAGGTCGAGGAACGAGGTGAACTGGGAGAAGACGACGGATTTCATGCCGGCGTCCGTGCGGCGGATGGACTTGAGATGCGTGAGCAGCGCCGCAGTTTTCGCGGAGCCAGAGGCGCCGATGCGGCGGAGCGAGATGCGCGGAGTCTGGATGGCGGGTGGAGGAGCGGACAAGTCGTCGAGGTCCATGTCGCCGTCGTCAATGTCGTCGGGGACTTCGTCGTGGCGGATGACTTCGAAGACGTCGCGCGCGTTGATGGGTTCGCGGCAGTTGAAGCATTTCGCGATCTCGCCTTTGTCGCGTTGGTGGGTGATATAGTCGAGGAGGCATTGCTTGCAGGCGCTGTGCCAGCAGCCGGTGACGGCTTGGTCTTCCATGGGGTCTTCGGAGCAGATGGGGCATTCTTGGCTGGCTTCTTCTTGTATTTGCTTTAAGACGGTTGCGCCGAATCGGTTCGCGTCTTGGTCGCTGTCTGAGGCGAAGCGCTCAAGGAGGGTGTCTAGGTCCATGTCATCGGCGAGGCCGTTGGCGATGTCTGCTGCTGCAGCGGCGTCATCTTCGTCTGCTACGATTTCCTTTTTGCGGATGAGAACGGGGTGGCAACAGGACTGGCGAAGTCGAAGAATCTGCGCGAAGATAGTTGTGTATGATTTCATCAGCGTGCCGGCCTCGGCATTGGCCGCGAAGACTCGTTTCGCACGCGTGAAGATATAGTCGTATACTTCTCTTTCGTCCTTGGAGAGCTCAATACGCTCTATTTCGATCGTCCGTGGAGGTAACGGCACTAAGGCCTTGCCATCTGGCGTCTTCATATCTTTCGTCCGGCGTAGAACGAGAGGCTCTAGCACGGTCTGAACGACATCGAGTGCTCGTAGGAAGTCTTTCGACTCGAATGGGACTGTGATGAAGGTTTTCCAGAATGAAAAGTTACTCCAGGGCTCCACTCTTAAGAAACGGACAAGACTGAATAGATCTTCCAGGCGATTGACGATGGGGGTTCCGGTGAGTACCCAACGGTGCAGAGCACTAATCTCGTAACATGCTTTTGCAGTTTTCGACTGCCGATTCTTGATGAAGTGCGCTTCGTCTAAGATAACCCGAAAGTATTCTAGAGAAAACAGGCCACCATGTGACCCTCTATTGCCGTCATTGGCAGCTACTTGGTTGAACTCGGAGAGTATCACACCATAGCTAGTGATTATAACATTTGGAGCATTGGCAGCATTGGCCTCGCAGCAAAGCTTCTGTAGGTTTGCAGACTTCTCCGCGCCGTAGTAAACCATAACCTTCAAGGTTCCAGGCAAGGATGCCTTTTCTGCCTCGCTCTGCCATTGGGCGAGCAAGGACATTGGAGCCACAACAAGCGTTGTGCATGGAGCGCGCTCGACGGATGTTGAGCTCTTTGGCAGCCTAGGGAGATTGTTGACGCTCGCCACTCCACTGGAAGCCGCTATCGCAGCGTCGGACCTATGGGTATGTATGAGACTGAGCATCTCGATCGTCTTTCCAAGACCCATTTCTATATAAGTTAGCCTCGCTCATTCAACATAAAGAAGACGACTTACCATCAGCAAGTATGCCACCCAAACAATTCTGCTCTTGGACAGGAAAGTCAAGTGAGAGCTCTCCGGAATACGGGTTGACGTAGAAGCTGGCCTGATCTGTCACTTCTGGCAAGTCCTTGTCGTCTACGTCCTTTGTAGGCCAGCTATATTCTTCCCATAAGGGATGCATAGATACCACCTTATCATCAGCCTTCTCATCTTTCTCTTTACTTATCATCCAGTGTAAAGCTTGCTTTTGGTACTTCCGAAGATCCATGCAGAACGTGCCGGCTGGCTCTGCCGTTGGGGTGTTGAAGTCAAAAGACTGTGCCTTTTTGTATAATGTATCGAGCTGATCCTGTTCTAGCTCTTGGCCCTCCTCTGCGTCATCTGATGGTGGAGAGGAGCCTTCGGCACCGTCCGGCTTTCCCTCCGGCGTTTTGTTCCCGCTGGGCTTCTCGTGTTGCTCTGCGATCTCTGCAGCTTGTAGAAGACCCTGTCGTTTATGTTTTTCTGTAGTGGCGTTGATTTGGGTAGGGTGTAGATTTACTTCATCGAACAACTTAACCATGGCGACCTGACGAAGCCTCAGATTCTTTTCGTCGTTGCTCTCTTTGGCTTCGAAGAGACCCGTCTCGCGATTATCCTGAGGCCTAATGAAATTCGCGGCCTCAAATGCACCCTTCAAGAGATAACACCTCAGCTGCAGGTAAACATTCTCGTTTGTTCTTAGTCTTTCGGGTGCATATACGCAGGACCCCTCGAATGTGCAGATCTTTTGGTCGATCAAGGTTGATATCCAAGCAGCCGATTCATTCTCGAGCCTTCCCACTTCTTCCCCTCGTGTATTTGTGAATCGTACGATGATATCTTGACGCTTGCCCACAACTGCCCGCGCTTTTCCGCCTCTACCAGGCTTTGTAGCTAGAGCTTGCATCTTTGCCCGTTCAATCCCAACCTTCTGACCGTACGCGATCAAGCCTGTGCCGCTCTTTGTAGCCCATCCTGTCACGCCAAATGCACCAATGTACCTGGTTGGCGGCGTTGAAGTGAGAGTAGTGGACGTAGAGGGTTTGGACGAGGCACTTGTAGTCTGGAGGTCGGCAACGGGCGAAGACAGACCCGATTTCTGATCTTCTTTCCGCCATGATGAGAGGTTATTGCGATTTTGAGCTTTCGAAGGACGTGGCGATGGTGTTGCGTTCCATGATCCGTCTAGGTAGATATTGATGGCTGGAGAGAAAGTCAACTACACAGATCTTCTAGGCGAACACAAAATCGTATACCTTTCTGTATGTCATCTCCGCATTGCTCCTTGAGCTTTCGAAGAACAGACGGCGCAACGCGCTCCCCAACGACGCTTGCAAAGAGCTCTCCGTCGAACCCACCGGCATTTTCTGTTGCGGTTCTCTCTTCATTATCCGATTGTGTAAGATCAATAGACTCTATTGCATCTGCATCGGGCGTCGCATCTGGCAACGCGTCCGCCAACGATGGTTCGTGATGCAGCGTGCGGTCGACAATCGGGGAAGAGGGATCCTCGACGAAGAAACGGCGCTTCTTCGCGGGTCTCTCTTGAAATTCAACGGAGCTCATGTTGGATATAGAGGGGCGAGCATCTGGATGGTTTGGACGTGTGGCGGCGAAGAGAAGTAGCCTGGGACTGGAACGCGCGTGAGCACGCGCTTTAACTCCACTCTAGTCTAGCAAACACGCGCCCAGCGTACTTCCATCGATCATGCATTCAACACCATAACGCCAAATAAGTATCCATTGCCAACCTTAACCAGGTTCTCCATCCCTTGCACAGCAAAAACACATAACCACGTACACTTGCTCACATCCTCTCGTAAACCACGATTCTCCAGGATGCAGACATTGAGGAGGTGCGCGTTGATGCAGGTGTCAAGGAGGCAGACGTCCAGGAAGCAGACGTCGAGTATAGAGCCCCCGAGGTCTATTCTACTTCATTAGGCCGCCTCTATGAACAGTGTATTCGGGCTATAAAATACACTACAAGGAATGGAATGTCCATGCATTTTACGGCCGCTCACCGCCTTACACTCCTAGGCTTGTTCCTTCGGGCACACTTATTTATTCCTTTATATTAAGTTACGCCTAGTAACGGACTACAGTCTAGAGCTTTTTAAGCCCCGATGCGCTTAGAATGCAGAGACTCTATGTGTCTGCGAACACACAAATCTAAACCAAAAACGCCTTTAGTAACCTCTTATTTCTCGTCACAGAACCATTTTCAGGCTATTCTGTTTTTAGAGCTCGACGGATTGATCATGCATTTCCATGCCGTTGAGCGCCTATCTACATTGCTTCGTTCATACACGAAGACCGGTTCAAGCATGCACGGTGTATAGCTTGTGGTTTTGCTAGGGCACAGTATGTAGCTTTTTAAGAGCCATTTCCGAATCCGCTGAATCGCAGCACGCCGCTGCCCCGTCAGCCCAGCAGCTAGAGCACAGTACTCTCAGCACCAGCAGAGCCTTCCGACCTTCCAGCCTCCGTCACAAGCCTTCAGCTCTTCCTCCCAGCCATTCTCGCAAGCCGGGCCAAGCACATTCCCGCCGCCGAGCTCAGGCGCCTTTCAATTGCCTCAGCCAGCACGCGCACAGCTGCATCAAGCCTTGTATGTTTCTCTTCACTTGCCCTCGCCGAACTCAAAGCTGACATTACTGCAAGTGGCAAAGAAGTTCCAGCACCCCAGCAGGCAAACGAGCTTTTTCAACGATCAGCCTCTTATCGCAACTCGAAGCCCAGATCCGAACTCTCACAGCAGAAAGAGATCAAGCCCTGAATGAGAAAGATCAAGCCGTCACGGAGAAAAATCAAGCCATTGCAGCAAACCACAGCCATTTTCAGGCAGGTTATTCGCAGGCGATGCGCGAGATCCAAGGCGGGAAAGCTCAGCTTCCAAAGCCAGGCCAGGGACTTCAGCTTCCGATAAAAACGGAAATCAAGACTGAGCCATCAGAATGAGGCAAACGAACAGCTGCGAAATACCCAAGAGCTTTCAGATGCAACTCAGACCGTTCAGCATCTTGATCAAGCTACGGCTTTGAATCAAGTTCATAGACCAGTGCGTTCATCGATTGTTTTATCTGGTGTCCCTCACCAGTCAGCCGGTGCTTTCCTCTGGCAAAGTTCTGATGTCTCATTAGTAACCCGATGCCTTCATCGGTCAATTCTGTCTGGCGCTTTTCACCAGTACTCTGATGCAACTCATCAGTTTCCGTCTTTCGTAGGTTTTGCTCATTAGAGCACAATAAAAACTGTACTTTTCGTAATCATCGTGCAATTGAACGTGAGATCACACCTTTCCTCAAATTGGCGCTTGTAGAATGAACATCCTATGGTTCAAAGTCATCTTCACCTAGCAAAGCTCCATCCTTCCGTCATGTACGAGCATAATCTCATTTGTGAATCCTCCATACCTGTAAGCAGTCGCCGCCTGAGCATAAATCTCGCATAATCATCTCCTAGTCGAAAGCCCCAGGCCTTCTGATACCGCCTCGCGGCTTCCTACACCCTACTTGTATCCCCCATTGCAGCCCACTGCAAAAGGATGGAGGCCTTACTTTCCTCCGAAAGAACGACGACCAAGCTCAGTGCCGTAGGATCTACAGAATCAAAGTCACGACTAGCTTGGAGGCGAGGCAGAGGCGAAGTCACAGGTCGGGGTTTGTACAAGAGTTGGCATATTGAAGCTGAATACGCCTACTAGCATCGAGCGACGAGAACTGAGGATCATATTCTACCCCAAGCGGCACCGAGCAAGACCTCTTACTACGTTCATAGAATCGCAACTGCCGAGGACTATACGGGGATGTTGACCTCAACGTTGCGACCTCAGTCTGACTCCGAATTATCGGTCATCATGCCACGTTCGATCCAATCTAATTTTCTCTTGTTAGTGCCACCCAATTATGAGTTTTTGAGATAGAGAGTGGCACACTTACGGTCATTGCAGTACCCCCCCTCATGAGCTGACTGATAGCAGTTCTCTTCGGCGCATTCTGGATAGTATTGATATGGTTGGTCTAATTATAATAGCTCAGCAAACGTGAGTAGGGCAGTTTTGGCGTCTGTGGGCCCAATGTGCCATGCAAATAGCAATGTCTTCAGCGAAGAGGAGACCTGAACTTGAGGAAGATGGCACCATGCTTACGGGCAGTGCAGTACCCCTGGGCATACCCTGGCGAACGGTTTTCGAATTTAGAACATCCAGCTGTCCGGCACGGGACATCTGTAACATCCTCTTCGCGTTAGTCCGACAGAGTCCCAGCGCAATAGAGAGGTGTAAGAGGATGGCGTGTCTCACGAATGGAACAATACATCAGTCCGTCGAGTCCCCTCGCCGAGGCATCACTGAGGCTGTTATCACATGTGCTATTGGAACACAGATCTGGCAAGACCATGATGAATAAGCAGTGTCTTAAGCATAAAGGGTTTAAGGCGGAAGTAAAGCGAGTCTTACGATCGCGACAGTACTATCCACGCAAGCGAGGTTTTGCGCAGCCCGAAGATAGACAGGTGCTCATAGTGAATCCAGTTGTGCTACTAGTAGCTAGGTGTCGCACAAGAATGCGTGCATGGTACTGTGGAATGAAATGTGTGGTGTAGGTGCAAGCAAGATTCTTGTCTATGCGGAGGGCGGGCGTACCTATCTACATACCTGTAACCTAGGGATGTGCTGGGATGCGCTGGCAAGCAGGCATATATTTGCCTGAAAAAGCCACGCGGGGAAGCATTGCATGCGAACAGTCCAGCCTTATCATGGCTGCAATAATAGGGCGAGGCTGAGGCGCCGAGTATGAGCACTGGTGCCCAGTGGATGACAAGGCGTCCAGAGTGAGGCGAACTTCAACGCTGATATGGGATCTGTTCTACCCGGCGTCTCTTTCGGTTTGTGTCATCACGGGCAGTATATTCCATCACGCTGGAAGGTCTTCTTCCTTTCCACAACGCGTCTTCAGGGAACACTTCTTGCTAGCGATGCCAGCGGGAATTGTTATTTGGGTGAGGTAGGGGCTACAGATCTAATTATCGTACTTCCTTGAGGTTTATCATTTGAATCGCGTCGCTCAACCTCACTTCTCGACACCTGGTAAGGCGTGCAGTCTTCGACCACTGTGCATTATTTTATTCAATACTCTCTTCGCGGTTCAAAGCCCCTACGCACCAAACAGTGATCACAGGAACTTTCTTGCCAATCACGTGAAGGCTAATAAACCCACAGACTCTTGGAGAGATGCCTTGCCTTGCTATCATGACGAGCTGCAGGAGCTAAGAAACTCAAAAGCTGGTCTTGTCGTACGTGTGCCAATTTGGTTGGATAGGCTGCTGAGATAGTAGCGGCAAGGACCGTTACACGACGTCTTGTGAAAGGAGATGGATCCGATAGACCCAATAGACGCTGCCGAAGGCTGAAAGAATCAGACACATTTTGCACATAAGCGTGTAGAGAAGGGGACGCGGGGTAAGGCTGAGGTTCTGGTGAAGATAAAGTGATTGAAGTGTTGCAGCTGCCCATCGAGATTTCATTTGCACAGCAAAGACACGAATTCAAACTTTCTTCCTTCTAGATAACGCACACTTTGACACTTGTAACCGTGTTCTATATTCCATAAAGCAGAAGCCAACCGCAACCATGGCAAACGATCTCATAGCTGAAATCTCGCGCCTAGGTCTTGAAGACCTCAACACTCCAGCCTCAGCATCGATCACCGACGTTCAGCACCTCTCATCCTACAACTGGGTCGAAGCGCCGAAAGCCACACCCACGATCGCCGTCCCTGGCAGTCCAGACCTGTGGTCCCCTCCCAACCGCCCCTTCCGATTGGAAAAGGACACTGGCCACATCTACATTGCTCAAAATGCAGCACGACACCCAGACAGCCCTCTCGAACCGCTCTTCCGGGCGTTGTACGTCTCACATCCATCCTTCGACATCACCTCCATCGACGTCGTGACCGACCGGAACAACATCCGCAAGCTCCTTGCCTTTGTGAACCCTCGCTGGAACAGCTACAAACGGGAAGCCTTCACCATCCACGTCGAGGTCACGAACAATACTGCCATCCTCTGCCGCGAGGAGACCAAAACGGACGAGTACATAGGCCCGAACGAGTTCAGAGGTTATGGCCATTCGTTCGAGAAGAACTGCACTAGCCGCAAAGTCAGCGGGAGTACGGGGCACCACAGGATCATATCGTACCGCTTCGGTGGCCTAACGTTCATGATCCGACATGAGACGGACGGTTATGTTGGCGTCGCTGGCACCCAGCTGAGCCCGCAACCCCCGGCCAACCAAGCGCCGGAGCTCGACGACCTCTCCAGCATCCTAGGCTCCCTGTCGCTATCTCCTGAAAGCAGCACTCCTGGGAAAAGCTCTCTTGTTGGCCCCAAACTGGTAACCCGAAAGGAAGGCCAAGTGGTTTCGCTCCCCTCAACCCTCGAGATCAAAACCCGCGTCGCGCACAGACCTCTTGCTTTCGAGGACGTCGTCTCACAGCTCTGGGTCTCACAGACGCCCAAGCTCGTCCGCGCCTACCACAACAGGGGCGTGTTTGCGGTCCCTAAAGTGGAAGATGTAGCGGTCCAAGTTAAGACCTGGGAAGACCAGAACCAGAAAGACCTCAGAATGCTGGCCGGCCTGATCGGGAAGATTCGCGAGATGGTGAAAGAGAGTGGCGGGAGAGCAACACTGAGGTATAATGCTATTGGAGACAAGTTGGGCTTTTACAAATTGGGAGGGAAGCAGATGCTGCCGGAGGGCTTGTATGCAAAGTGGGAGGGCAGGGGTAGTAACGAAGAGGGTGTCGGTTCAGATGTGAAGATCGTTGGGAAGTCTATTAAGAAAGCTAAGGTTGCAGTAAGTGGGAAGAACACAAGGACGGCGGGAACGAAAGAGAATATAGTTGCTGAGGCGCAGCTACCCATTGGTGGCGATTAGATGATGGCTACTTCGGAAGCAACCCCTTTGTTAGGCGTGATAGCCATGTTCTTCTCTTAATCCCTCTTAGCTTATGATGCAATAACCAAACTCCCATCGTTAAACCCGTCAGTGGTATCGCAAATACCCAATAGATCCAGAACTTGTGTGAAACCGACCAAGTCGCGGCATAATCATCCCGTTCAGGTGTGAAGTTGAAGAAGCTCGTGCTGAAGATCGCCTACGGTATATTAGCGTCCCTCTGATAGGCGCGGCTTGGAAAACTGACTGATATGAACGTTGGGGGTAGAAAAGCCATAGTCACTACTGCAATTGTCTTCATCGTAGTAGTATCATCCTTTGCTGACTTCCCTAAGTCAGTCATTACCTTGCTGTCTCCTTGAGCTATTATGTTGTAAGCCTGGCAACAGTCAGCAACGCTTTTTCCCTGGCTGACAGAGTTCGCCTTACAAGAGCGATCTCGTTCTGCAGTCGCTCCTTGCTGGATTGAGCGCGCAGCAGCAGATTGCGAAGCATCCGGATCTGGGCATCTATATACGTTCGTATTCTATAAGAAGCCTCAGTAGGTTTTCCGCTTCCCTGCTTGGTCTTACTCGTAAGATCCAGAACTTGTTGCTGAAGAGCCCCAAGTGTCTCTATACACACGCTGAGCGATTCGAAAGAATGGATGGCGTGTCTCGCCAGATCATGCAACTTCAGGAAATTATGCATCTCCCGAGTCTGACGATCCTATAGTCTCTGGGATTACTACGAGAGATGTCGCTAATGACTTGGGCGCTCTCACCTTCTCGATATCACGCACAACGTCTCGTACAGACCACACAGATAACTCTTGCATGGCAACAATCGTCTCTACAAGCGGCACATGCAACGAGTACGGTTCCGAAGGCGGTATCCCAGGCCACATTTGGAGTAGGGTGTTTTGAAGGGCTATTTGAAATGAAGGCGGTATTCCAATGCACAGTATAAAGGATCGGGTAGGATTCCAGCACGAAAAGAAGGTCATTTCGTGCCACGTGTAGCCTGGCATGTTGTTTTGCGCGACGACTTTGACTAAGACGCGGAAAATCGTGTTTGGACAGCGGTCAGTTAGCCGGTTGGCTTTGAGATCATCCTGGTACTTACCATATGATTGAAGGTTGCCATGCTTATCGAAAGATTCCTCGAAGCTGAAGAAACCATTTGAGTTCCGATACATGTGAGAGAGCATATGCTCGGGTACATGAAAGTGTTGTGAAAGTTCTGGTGCGAGTTGTTGGCTAGCTGAGAATACATCTCTCTCTAACAGGCTTGCGAGGGATTAGTGCTGAATGAATGAGTGGCATTTTGGGAAAATGTACAAGTATTGAAGCGCTGGAGCACTAGGGTCCTGTTTCAGTATTTAGATAGGCTGAAGTGACGGGGAAGGACTGCTGCACATTCAGGCACTGGTCAAGGCGCTTAGTATCTCGTATCCAGCCACTTGAAGCTATGTCCGCTTCAGCTTAGGATAAGTATAGAGCATGGAGACCGCTTACAGATATGCAATACAGTGAGTGACTGCATCTGAATTGTGCGGAAGAGAATACTGGACGTGGTGTCTGCGTGAAATGATGTTGGTAGCACACTGCAAGGTGAGGCCAGCTGGATAGAAATTTCAGCCTAGCTAATTCTGCCTGCGTCTGCAGGTTAGACGCATGAGGTCGAAAAAGGATTGTGCCCCGCTGCACGGTGTTGTCCAGAGCGGTCAACATCTCAGCCCCCGGCCAGAATTCTTCCCCTTTCAGCCTTTCACTGCCCGCCATTCACCACCCTGCCCCGCCGCCTCTTTCTGTATTCTGCCGAGGCAACGAGGCCGATTGGGCTAGGCTGTTTCCGGCTAGAATACCTCGCCTATTTGCCGAGTGGTCTTACTGCCAGGGCTGTCGCAACTCAACCTTACGCTGTAAAATCTTCCTGCCACAGTTCAATAACTTCCACGGACCTTTATAATCCTATTCCTGCTTCTTCCATTATCAGAACAGTTCCCTAGACCTCTGCGAAACTCATATTCGCCTATCGCCAGCCTCACTGTTCTAAGTGGTGGCGGTCTCAGCCTTGTCTCTGTGCCGCAACCTGACAACAGAGTATATTGCTCCGCCTTTCTGCCTACGCTATGAAGCCACACGCCTATCACCGCGTAGCGGCACTCTACGCCCGGCCGCAGCACAAAGGAACCGCCGACAGCGCCAACAGGCTGCGAGAGATACAATGCACCTTTCACCGCGTGAAGCCATTCAGGATTCTTGAAAATGGACCCCCAAAGTTTCTTGTGGCGCTCTACTTTCGAAAGGAGAGTCATTTCCGGCGGCCGAGAATGGACGAAGTCTTTATGATCAGTCGATATAGATAGTGGGATGTCAATAGTAATGGTATTGGGTGCCAAATGTCGATGGGGACGGCGGTGTAAATGTAGAGGATGCTAATACGAATTGTGCCTGCGATAACGTCGACAGGAACGGGGATGTCGGTGGGGATATGATGGGGATGTGATGGGGATAATGGTAGGGTCTTATACGTGTCTACCCTAACCAGGTGCATCTTGCTTATCTAGGAGGAGCCTTAAAACGGTCATACAAACTTAGTGATAAAGGAGGTCGCAAGTCGGCTTGCCACGTAATGGATAGTTGAATGTGGCGCTCTTCGCCTGTGGACGATCACGTGCGGACTATTGTTGGCAGCCTGCGTGTGCATTGTTGCCACCTATCTCTCGTGCTGCCGCAATCACCGCCCACGACCACCGACACACCAGCCAGCTTATCAACCTCCCCAGCGAACTTCGCAACAAGATATGGATGGTGCTGATGCTGGCGATGATTCTGCTTGGTCAACTTTTGCAGATTTCCTGGAATCATCTTCGCGGGTTTTGTGCCTCGTGGGTGCTGGACTCAGCGCACCATCTGGTCTGACCACCTGGCGTGGGACGAACGGGTTATGGAACGACATCAATTTGAGAGAGCTTGCCTCACCCAACAAGTTCCAAGAGGATCCAGTCACAGTTTGGAGCTTTTACGGCGAGCGTTTACTCAAGTCATTGGAGGCTCAACCAAATGCAGCACATCATGCCTTGGCGGCTCTTGCTATAGAAGTGGCCACGGGCTCGTGCACGCTACCACCTCGTGCACGGTTTCCCGTGCACGCATCACGAACTTCAAAAAAATATACTTTCACTTAAATTACTCAGAACCTTATAGAAATTAAGGGGGAGATTAAACTAAAGGCGTTCTTTTATTCTATTATAATGGAGCACCTTAGTTATCACCCCCCCCTTTCTTTACATACCACCCCCCTTTTCTCTGCGTATCACCCCCCCTACATTAGGCCTAGCTCCGGCCCGTATGAATATTGTTCCACCAATCAAACTCACTCGCTTGCCTCCGTATAGGCTGCGTAAAATGGAGAGTATGTATACACAAACTGGAAAGGATGCATCATCTAGGCCAATAGGACTCTATTCACTCTAGCTACTCTAGCTACTCTACCAGCGGAAAGCGCCTAGATGGCCACCGTCCAATTGCTGACTAAAAGGAACGCCAACTAGACCTGTATACCAAGGCCTCACACCGGTTCCTTCACCATAAACAGCCTCCTCCTCAGGTGTAGACATAGGGGCATCCTCAGGGGCTGGTTGGCTATCGGGGACTAAGGAAATAGAGCCCTGAGTAGCTGTTGGAGTGCCTGCTTGTCCGGTGGAGCGATCTGGAGCTGTACCTGTGAACTGTATAGGATTGTTCAACACTACAATGGTCCGCTCGACCGCCGGCGTGCCTGTGGAGACACCTGCCATAGTAATTTGGCTAGCCGGTGTCGCAATCTGCACGAGCAGTAGTCTTACGAGCTCGCCGGAGATGCGATGTACCTCCACGTGCCTGGCCCTCTTCCTCTACGGACGCATGGCGGCCCCAGGGGGCGGCCGGAGGGGCACGGTGGTGAGGGTAGTGATGTAGAGGACGTGGTGTTGATGCATCGAGAGAGTGTGCGCTGGTGATGTAAATTCTTCATTGAGCACGAGCAGTCAACCGAGTGAGTTTGATTGGTGGAACAATATTCATACGGGCCGGAGCTAGGCCTAATGTGGGGAGGGGGGGGGTGGTTGATACGCAGAGAAAAGGGGGGTGGTATGTAAAGAAAGGGGGGGTAATAACTAAGGTACTCTATTATAATTACAGAGTTGTTATACCTTTTAGGTATGTTCCTAATACGCTAAGGCCGGCTAAAGGTTAATTTCACTACCTGTCAGGAGTATGGCCGAGGAAAGGGTTGTATTGCTATTGACGAGGTTGCGTGGAGAGGAGAGAGGCTCCGGCCACGAGCAATATATATAGTGGAGCGCGCAAGGCGCCGGAAGAACCCTCGGCCCGGGATCACGTGACGTCCGTGCACGTGATGTCCCGTAACCTCAATAACTGCCAAGAGAACCTGGAGGAACAGCGTGACACGTGCCCTTCCTTTTGAAAACTAAGCTCTTGTAAGAACCTAGACATAAAAGCAACTTACTATATAAACTTATATAATAGACAGCTAATATAATAATATAGCAATATTCCGGTAGTCTAGTTAAGTAGGTAGAGTCTAGTCCTTTAGTTTAATAAAATAGGCGGGCGGTTTAGGCTTTTATAGATTATGGGGACTACTAATCGTACACCCCCTAATTCCTAAACGTACACCCCCTTTTCACTACACGTACACCCCCTTTTCACTACACGTACACCCCCTCCCCCCCTATCGCTTCACCACCTTCTGATTGGCTCGGAGGGCTGCTCCGTAGCCTCCGATTCGCTCGCTTAACTTGCTCATTAATTCCGAATGCTCTCTCCAAATGCGGCCATGTACAACACAAGCAATTACATTATGCCGATTTGTATAGCCTTATATATAGCCTTATATACAAGCTTACGTACAAGCTCACGTACAGCTGTATATACGGCTGCATGAATTGGAAAGAATGCGCCGTAGAACAGAGAGGCTGTATAGCCATGCTGATTTATATAGTCTCATGTACGAGCTCACATACAAGCTCACGTACAAGCTCACGTACGAGCTTACGTATAGCCTCACGTATGAGCTCACATACGGCCTCGCGTATAGCATCACGTACGGCCTCGTGTATAGCATCACGTACAGCCTCGCGTATAGCATCACGTGTAGAGAGACGTAAGGGTGAATGCCCGGAGGAAGCTCCGGGCTCTCCGAGCCAATCAGAAGGTGGTGAAGCGCCAAGAGGGGGGGTGTACATGGAGTGAAAAGGGGGTGTACGTCTAGGAATTAGGGGGTGTACGATTAGTAGTCCCCTAGATTATAGTAGTGGAAATTAAAGACCCTATAGAGGCAGCCCTTAACATTTTCTAATAGTTGCTAGTAATAGTATAGATATATGGGAGGGATATTGGCACACCCCCTAAATCACTCCACACACACCCCCCCTCTCGTCTGATCTTCTAATTGGCTGGAGCGGCTCGGAGCTTCGTCCGGAGCTCTATTCTCACGTGCATTTGCACGTGTAGCCTTTCTTATTCACTTAGCCGTACGTGAGCTCATACGTGAGGCTATACAAATCGGCATAGCTATACAGCCTCTCTATTTTACAGTGCATTCTTTCCGATTCGTGTGGCCTTACATATAAGCTCACGTACGGCTGTATATACGCCTGCACGAATTGGAAAGAATGCACCGTAGAACGGAGAGGCTATATAGCTATGCCGATTCGTATGGCCTTATGTATAGCCTTACGTACGAGCTCACGTACAAGCTTATTTACGAGCTCACGTACAAGCTTACATGTGAGCTCATGTACAAGCTCACGTACGAGCTCACGTACAAGCTCACGTACGAGCTCACGTACAAGCTCACGTACGAGCTCACGTACGGCCTCGCGTATAGCATCACGTGCAGAGGGACGTAAAGGTGAATGCCCAGAGGAAGCTCCGCGTTGCTCCGAGCCAATTAGAAGGTGGTGAAGTGCCAAGAGGGGGGGGTGTGCGTGGAGTGAAAAAGGGGGTGTGCGCGGAGTGATTAGGGGGTGTGCCAATATCCCTCCCCTTCTTAAAGGGCAACAGATGGAGGAGGCACTTGAGGCACGTGAGGTGGAGCAACAGCTCAAAGCGGGGATGCAGGCAATGCAGCAGAGGCAGAAGGTTAAGAAGGTTGTATTCACTATTCCTGAGGAGCCTACTGTTGAGCAGAATTGTGGTGTTGAAGATGGGGTAGCCAAATCAGCTTCTGGCCGGCCTCAGCGATTGAGCATCACCCCCAAGCGATATGCCAACTCTATAATTACAATAGAATGAAAGAGCGACCCTGGTTGCCTCTCCTCCTTGATTTCTGTGTATAGATCTCGTTGTGTTGTGTTGAAAAGCTTCATGTTGTGAGCCGTGGATTTCTTGGTGAGGCGTGCACGAGGTGTCAGCGTGCACGAGCCGTCGAAGTCTTCTATGCTTGGTCTCTCGATCTTCTTACAGTGCGCGCTTGTACATCTCTGCCTCCGCTAGCTTGCCTTACTTCATGTATAGGAAACCCAGGTTTGCGTGAAAACCAAGTGTTTGGTAGTATGCACAGGTGGGAGCTATTCAAGAGCCAAGGCAACTCAGCTGAGAGGCTTGAGGACAACGTGTCACCCCGCCAAGACGGACGCCGCTATTTAATTAGCCTTGTGGCAGCTGCAACTTTCCCCGCCGCCGCTATTTTACCTTGCAAACTAGCTATCAATCCGCATTCTCAGGCCAGGCTAGACTTGACGAGACGATGGATCTGATGTGGACTACGCTTTACCTCTGCATTTTTATTGCATCAGCAGCCGTGCTCCACAAACAGGTGGCGAAGCGGATCCCGTACCGCTATTCTTCACTTCCGCCAGGAAACAACAGTATTCGCCTGCTTCGCCTATTGCCACACGAAGACGAGACGGCTGACATACAATGCGAGCTCTTCGAGTACTCTCTCCAGAACTCGTGCAAAGGAACTCACCTATACGATGCTCTATCCTATGTATGGGGCAATCCAGACGAGACGCTGCCTATCTTTATACATGAACATAGCTTCGATGTCACTGTCAACCTTCGCGCAGCTCTTTTACAGCTTCGAAATCACTCTATTGAACGAATCCTATGGGTAGATGCTATATGTATTAATCAAGCAAATCGGGAAGAGAAGGAAAATCAGATCCAATCTATGGCGAAGATCTATGGTCAAGCAAACCGTGTAGTTGTTTGGCTTGGAGAGACCGCCGACGATAGCGACCTAGCGTTTGAAGAGATACGCGTTGCTAGAGACCAGAAGTCTACAAAGTCTTCAGACAGCGAAAGGATCCAGAAAGCAGTCCTCGCGCTGCTTCAACGACCGTGGTTTCGGCGCATCTGGGTATGGGAACAGACACTTGACAGCAGTCGTATGAAGTACTAAAGTTTATTCTAGATACTTCAGGAAGTTGCCGCAGCTCGACATGTGCTAATTATGTGTGGGTCTAAGAAGATTGATGGATATGTCTTCTGCTTGGGTATTGATTCATTAAAGGATTTCTACGAAGCTCGCCAAGACTTACAAGGCTTGATCCGTTCAGTGACCTACCTAATCAGAGAAGCGACCTTCAGGCCTGAATACTCGATCGGTAGTTCTGGCAGGTCATCTCTGGATATATGTCCACTAGGTGAGCTGGTGGACATGTATCATGCCCATAGGGCTACCAAGCGCCACGATAAGGTGTATGCCTTGCTCGGCATGAGCTCGGATGATCTCCGCAAAGTTGACTTGTTGCCTGACTACGGAGTTCCTTGGGAGAAACTCTTGCAGCGACTAGCCAAGTATCTTCTCTCTGAAAAGATGTCTGTAGAGACCTGGGGCGATAAAGAGATCGCAGTAATCAAGAGCAAGGGCGCAATTCTTGGCCAGGTGTCTTCAGTAACAAGTGACAGCGCTCGGTATGACAGACAGCACTTGAATATCACTTTCAAGAGCATACCACAGCAGCAACAGAGCGCTCACTGGACTCTCAAGGTCTCGGCAAAATCGATCCGAGATGGAGACATCATCTGCCTCCTTCAAGGAGCTTCAAAGCCTACGATTATCAGATTGTGTGAAGATCATTTTGTTATTATCATGGTTGGAGCCACTCCTCTAGAGGACATACAAACGGGAAATGGTTATATCCAGTGGTCCAACCTTTCGCAATCGGTACAAAGCTTCACCCGGGATTTCATACTTGTCTGGGACTGGGAAAGTTCATCAAACAAGTTGCAAGATCTCGGAGAATACGAAACCTCGATACGACCAAACAGTTTGGTGTTAGAACATTCCAAGAAAGAGATAGACAAAGCGACACGAACATGGAATGTTGCACTAATACTAAGAGACTTGGAAGAGTATAAACAGGCGGAGGAGAGGCTTCAAGAAGCAGTAGCAGGCTATGAGATGACGTTTGGAGAAATGGATTCGTACACCTTAAAAAGCCGATACGGTCAGACGCCGCTATTGTGGGCTGCAGGGAACGGTTACCATACAGTAGTAGACCTACTACTTATGAATGATGGCATTGATCCGGACTTGAAGGATGGTCAATACGGACAGACACCGCTGTCATGGGCGGCGCAGGGAGGGCACAATGCCGTGGTTAAGCTGCTACTCAAGACGGGCAAGGTCGATGTCGACTCAAAGGATAGCCAATATGGACAGACGCCACTGTTAAGGGCGGCGCAGGGAGGGTATAAGGCGGTGGTCAAGCTACTACTTGAGACGGGCAAGGTCAACGTCGGCTTAATCGATAGCACTGGAGAGACGCCGCTGACTTGGGCGTCGCTGCGAGGGCATGAGGCGGTAGTTAAGCTGCTGCTCAAGACAGGCAAGGTCGACGTTGAGTTAAAGGATCGTCAATACGGGCGGACGCCGCTGGCATGGGCAGCACTGCGAGGGCACGAGGCGGTAGTCAAGCTACTGCTTAAGACGGGAAAGGTCAACGTTGACTCAAAAGATAGTCAATATGAACGGACGCCGCTATCGTGGGCGGCGGAGGGAGGGCACGGGGCGGTGGTCAAGCTACTGCTCGAGACGGGCAAGGTTAACATCGATTTAATCGATAGTACTGGAGAGACGCCGCTTACCTGGGCGGTGGTACGAGGACATGAGGCGGTAGTTAAGCTACTACTCAAGACAGGCAAGGTCGACGTTGAGTTAAAGGATCGTCAATACGGGCGGACGCCGTTGGCATGGACAGCGCTGCGAGGGCATGAGGCGGTAGTCAAGCTACTGCTCGAGACAGAAAAGGTCAACATTGACTTAAAGGATAGTCAGTGCAAACAGACGCCGCTATCGTGGGCGGCGGAGGGAGGGCATAAGGCGGTAGTCAAGCTACTGCTCGAGACGGGCAATGTCGCCGTCGACTCAAAAGATAAATACGGGCAGACGCCGCTATCATATGCGGCCATGCAAGGGCACGAGGGGGTGGTCAAGCT